AGGGTCCCAGGCCAGTGGCCGCGCCGCGCGGAGTTAGGGGGGCACCCGCGGGGCGCTGCGAGCTGCGTCCTTTCCCAGCTAGTTGAGTTTTGGCACTCGGCGTCCCAGTGCCTCCTCCCTCTTCTCGCCAATGAATCACCGAGCGGTACTTTCTGCCCTCGCTCCCCCAGGAAGAGCGAGGGGGAGGACGGTTCAGAGGCAAAGTCTGTCCTTTCTCCTCTCCGGGAGGAGCGCGGCGAGGAGGGGTTGGCTTTGCCAGAGGAGAGGAGCGCGCGGTGGGACTCGGGGGCGTCCGCGGGGCCTCCCCTTCCCGCGTGTCGCCGCTGCCCGCCTTCATCCGGAGCCCGGGAAGGGACGGGGCGGGTGCGGAAAAGCGACGCGGGCGCAGAGCGCTCTCGCCCATCCCGGAGGCTGAGTTTGCAAACTTAGTGAGGCTTCCGCAGGGGTGAGAGAAGAGCGGGAGAAACCACACGTCGCCTAGCATACTCTTTGCTGTTTCCTCTCTGGTTTTCTTTATAGTCCCTTTCCCTCCTGCCCACCCCCCTTTTATTTTTAATATTCATGAATTAAGAATCCCTCCTGCCCACCCCCCTTTTATTTTTAATCTTCATGAATTAAGATTTTAAAGTAGAATTTCTTCTCCCCAACACCGACCTTTCTGCCTGACTTCATCATGAACTTCACACTCTGTGATATTTTTCAGGCTGCCCGCCCCTCCTCACCTCTCCCCAAACTTACCCGCAGGGTGTCCGCAGACAGGAACCTGGAGAGGAAGAGAAGTCCCCATTTCATCCTGGGGAACCCCCAAGCCAGTGGTTTCAGAAGCTGGCCTTCCCTGTCCAGTAATTCCAGGCGCTTCATCCCCTCCTTTCTCTCTTTTCCTTTCTTTCTACCCTTCCTTCCTCGCTCTCTCCCTGTCTTCTTCTTTTTCCTTTTCTCTTCAATCTTACCCACACTTCTCCTTTCTTAACTTCCTTTTCCTTTCTTTCTTCCTTCCTTCTCTTCTTCCTTTCCTTTCCTTTCCTTTCTTTTTCTTCATTCTTGTTTTTCACTATATGGAGAAAAACCATTGTAAAAGCTTGTCTTGATTGTGAAGACATGCTACTTTTACCAGAATCGTGGCGTTTTAAAGGCAGGAAAGAGATTTGGCTTATCTCTGCATGGAAAAGGCACTGGGTACCAAGAGTCACTGACATTTTTTTCCTTCCATAAATTTATTCGGCTGGCGCTTACTGAACAGCAGCACTGGGCTAGCACCTAACGGAACCCAGGCTCTCATTTGACTAACACGTTTATCTAGGTTTCCTTTAGCCATTTACTTTTTTTGAGAGAGAGATGTTTACTGTAGGGCTCCTGCGCTTACCAGAGAGAGACAGAGAGAGTTAGAGACAGAGAATACGTCCACTGGGGATCTGACAAGGTATCTTCTGCAGATAAGGGGGGACTGTGGCCTACTGATGCTCACACACACACTGATAGCACTTACAATATTTATATAGTGCATTATATACTTTACCTGTTTCCCTTCTCTACCAACCTTATGAGGTATTCATCCATTCAACAAATATTTGAGGATCTGAGAGTACTAGGGGCTTGGCAGCTAATGGTGAAAAGGTCAGACACTATCTGTTCTATGGTGGGGAAGAAATGAATCCATCTACCAATTATCCCAGGAACTCCAACAGTTACCTATGAGATACATGTTCTGAAGGAAAGAAACACAATTCTAAGAAATTTAAATCAAAGCAACCTGACTTAGACTGGGTGTGTTAGGGTGTGAGATGATTCAATAAAGTAGCCTTTGAACAGAGCACACATTAGAACAGCTTTTATCAAAAAAAATACAGAAGATAACAAATACTGTGGAAAATTTAGAGGAAGGGGAACTCTTACATACTGTTCGTAGAATTGTAAATTAGTGTAGTCATGATGGACAACAGTGCGGAGCTTTCTCAAAAATTATAAATAGAACAATTATATGATACAACAATTATACCTTTGGGTATATATCTAAAAGAAATTAATTCAGTAAATTAAAGAGATATACACACTTCCACGTTTACTTATCCAAGACATGAAGTCAACCCAAGTGTCCACCAGTGCGTGAGCAGATGAAGAAAATGGACTAGTATTCAGCTATATAAAGAATGAAATCTTGGCATTTGTGACAATGTGAGTAAACTTGGAGGACATTATGTTAGTAAAGTGACTCCGGCACAGAAAGACAAGTATTTCATAGTCTCCCTCATTTGTGGAATCTGAAAAAAGCTAATCTCACAGAAGTAGAGAGGATACTGGCTACCAGAAGCTGGGGAAAGAATAAAGAAAGGGATAGATGGGCCAGGGGATACACGGTCCTAGTTAGGAGGAATACGTGTTAGTGCAGCAGTGTGTAGGAAAGGAGGGTGATTCCAGTTGATGATACCATGTTGTATCTTTCACAGTGGCTAGAGGAGAGGGTTTTGAATGTTTTTATTACAAAGAACCAATGAATGTTTTAGATGATAAATACATCAAATACCCTAATCTGATCATTTCAAAATGTATTTATGTATTGAATCATCACATTGTACCCAATAAATATATATTATTATTGTCAATTAAAAATGTTTAAATGGACAAGTAAAAAGAGTAGATAGAATGCTAAACTTGGTGACCAGTGGTTGTGGAATAGTCTAACTTTCCACATAAACATAACCAGCCAGGATCAACCTGTAGTGAAAGATCATTTCAGAATCACAGCTTTCCTAGTGTAAGGCAAACATCTCTACTAGGCCTACCCCTAATATTACAAAGTCAGTGCCAATTTAAAAAATGGATGTCTATCTATAATAAAAATAAATATTTAATGGTTATACATCAAGCTAATACATTATTAAAATAGATAGGTTTTATCCTCCCATCTTCTGCAACAAATTCTTCTAGGTGGCTTCTGTTTAAAAATCCTTCTTACTCCATCAGTTTAGTTGGTATTCAACTGTTTTCCACCCTCAAAATCTTGCGTTCTGTTTTATTTTAAAGAAAGAGAAAAGGAATATACAAGAAAAGGATGAATTTAGGAGCTAAAAGGTTTATGTACCTTCAAAATGACCTGGAAGCCTCATTCCACCTTAGAATTCCTGGACTTGCCAGAATTCCACTATTATTTGATGACTCAGGTGATTTTCTGGTCCATGCTTCCTGCTTCCCCTTTCTGTCCCTGCTCCTGCATCTCTAAGTCCCTGGTAAAAGGGCACAGATAACTACAGACCATGTGTCCAAAGTGTCCCTGTAAGATATTCCTCTCATACTCTCTTCCTGATCGAGGGAGCATCCAGTAGCTGTGCAGGTCAGACTTGGAGAAGGGGTCTTTGTGTGGCATAGAAGGCGGTATATTTACTCCTTGTAGGGGGTGGGCTTCTTGTCCCTTGGGGAGGATCCAGATTGGAGGAGGGACAGATAGTAGCCCCTGTATGGTGTAGGACATGGGCCAAGAGTGCCTCTTGCCCAGGTCTAAATTCTTGTCCCTGGGTCTTTAATTTATTAATCTCTTTAACTGCCTAATTTCCTACTGTGATCCACTTGAGCCACCCTTAGGCTCAGTTTCACTTTGGGCTTCCTAATCCCTCCAAAGGAAAGATCTTTGCTCATGTCCTTTGTCTACTTTCACTCCTGCCAAACGTTGTTACTCAATCTCATTCTCCTAATGGAGGATCATTTCCTTTATTAACTTGTGCAGGCAGGCCTCTCCACTCTTCACTCCTCCAACTCAGCCACACCCTTTCCAAACCATCTCAGTGGATTTCTAACGTGGCTCTTGTCCTTACTTGTTGTACTTTCTTCTTCCTGCTTTGCCATCCATTCCATTATTCTGTATTCAGGGTCCACTGTGTCAGTCATGGGCGACATGGACATGGTATGTGCCTGGAATGAAGGTTAGGGTTCACTGGGAGAATCAATAGTGAGTCATTAGTTAAAACTGTGATGAATGATATGCTAGGAAGGTGTTGTATGTTGTTCCATGAGAGTCGAACTTTGGGAGCAATTATACCCCAACTTCAGTTAAATGGCTCTATTTATTTTTATACATCAGTTTCCATGCTGCTAAATATTACCTGATTTTATGTTATTTCATCACATCTGGGTCTTCCCTGCTATATAATGATTTTGAAGTTTCTTTTTCTTTTCTTTTTATTTTTTTTCCAGAGATTTTTGTTATTGGGTGAATGCACTTGCCAAAAAGACAGATAGACAGAGAAACAGAGACAGAGAAACAGCCTCCAGGAGGATGGCCATGCCAAAATCTCTTCTCCTCCATTTTCCTCTTGGGATTTTGGTCATGCACGCACATGCGCCCAGCGTTGAGTTTTAAGTTGCCAGGTCTGGGACTTGAACTGCCATCTACTACATGGGAATCCAGTGTCATAACCATTATGGCCATCTGCTAGTCCCTGAAAGTGCTTTCTCATTGTCATCAAATAATGGAATAGTATATTGTCTAATATTCTCCATTATTAAAGAAAAAAATTATTTTATGTCAGTGTATTTGAATGATAAATTTTATGTCGTCTTTGTGACATCTTGCTTCAAGATAGTTCATAAAGCTTTTTAGTTTTTCTTTGCCCTAGAGAACAGTAATTGGCCTGGAAGATGAGATGACATGAGGAAAGCCTCATAGCTGTAGCTGGCAGGAGGGGATGTCCTCGGGGTTCCTCCAAGTTTATGGACTGGATGTGGTGCCTGGAGTGCTGTTCTTTGCACTGGGCAGGTGTTAGCATACTTAACCCTTGCGGCAGCCCTAGAAAGAGGTAATATCTTTACTTTCACTTTGTAGTTAAGGAGTCTGAGCCAGAGGGAAGCTTAATAATTAGTTACACCATAAATACATTGGAGAAATTTGAACCCTAGTCAGTCTGTCTCCCAAGCCATCTCTCCAAAACCAACAGTTTCTCACC